ACCCACTTACAGATACTTGTGAAGTCGTAGCTGTTCGAAAGAGGGAAGCCATAATCTTCGATAATAATTGCACCTAAGCTTAATATTGAGACCCGTTAGTAAAACTCAACTAAAATGATGAAATTTGGGAGTGAAGATTTGGAATCAGTAAGTCGAAATACGCTAAGAAGAGTCCTAAATAATTTTTGTAAAAAGCCAACAAAAAGTCAACAGTTAACCTAAAAAGTCAATCAAGCCGTCCCAGTGGTCAACTACGTTAAAAATTTGGAATTTCACTAAATGGATGTCAAAAATGGACTCGGGGGCATTGAATTAGTCTAGGAGGGTTTCCGAGAAAATTCCGTAAAAGTCAACATAAGGAATATTTTGAGCCTATTCGAAAATGGGCTGGGCTAGAACAATGGGCCAAAGGTTTGGGCCAGGTTTAGGCTTAGGCCTTTTTTTTTTCCCTGTACTAGGTCTGGTTGACCTGTTTGGGCTCGCGGGTCATACCCACTGGACCCAACGAAGAAGAAGGCCAGATCTCGTATGATTTGGCAGGGAAACTTCCCAAGCTCCGTTAGGGGTCTAAAACTCAACCATTTTTAATGATTCAAGAACCAAAATGAAATTATGGACGCCAGGAACAAGAATGTACCATCGTGGTCTCCTGCCGTTGTTGGAGTTGGTCGAAAATGACCTGCAAAAATCTCAAGCTTCGCTGGAATCTGGGAAAATAACTTCCTCGAGTTATCTCAGTATCAATTCATTGTCAAAGCAGACAGAGAACTCATAAATCATACTAAAAAGTCAGTAAAAAGGGGTTTTGTGCGTTCTTGATCCTTACTCAAGTCGGAATAACATCGTGAACTCGTCGAACATCCCGTTCGATGTCAGAGCTCATTGATTTGAGGGTTTCCACGGTTTTGTCCTCAATTATAATTTCGACGAGAGAGATAGAACGAGGTTGTGGGTTAGGTGTGGTGGCAGTGCTCCCAGAGTGGAAAGGCAAGGTGGTTTTTGGGTCTCGGTGCTGGTGGTTACAGAGGGAGAGAATGTTTAGAGTGAGAGAGAAAGACGGAATATAAGTGAAAGGTGAGAGAGACAAAGTGAGGTGGCAGCAAGGGAGAGGTCCAATAGATCTGAAAGGGGGCACGGCAGCAAGGGAAAAGTGGGGTGTGGGTCCTACTCGGCTCACACTCCAATCCCATAAAAGACAAAACCGAAAAATATCTCTCACAACGTGAAATTGCCTAAATGCCCATCACGTTTGTAGCTTCGTAGAATTTTTGTTGTAATTCTGAATTCAATTTCAGTTGCGCCTACTTGTTCGTAACGTTGAGTACTACACAAATACATAAAAATAGTAGCTCACACACGTCACGAAATGATGGTCAACGGAAGTCAACAATCTCATCTCTAGGGCATTTTCGTCAATTCACTCTTTTAAAAATTAATAAAATCGTAAAATTAGGGACGGGTTGTTACAGTTGAAGAGGTACAAAATTTGACATAAGAATTCAGATTGCCACATGAACCATCAATTGTAATTCAACTCTTATAAGTTGACATTTCTTTTGAAGATGTGTTTTAAAAAGATAGTTCAAATAATTAGTCTATCTAATATTACCCTAAATTAAAGGGAAATTTGGATTACTAACAATTTTTTAACCCTTAAATTGAATGCTAGCCTAGTTTTCATAAATTTTATAATTCCAACTAAATTTATTACGAATCGTCTTAAATGCCCTTACAACAAAATAAAATGCAATTTGGAAGGTAAATTGTTATTGACACTAAAAAAATCTCATTTTGCACTCCAAATTTTCTATAATTAGTAAGAGTGAGGAATGTAGAATGTGATTTTTAGAGTGCTAATAACAGTTTTTTTTTTTTTTTTTTTTTTTTTTTTTTTTTTTTTTAAGAATTCAAATTCATTATTTCTTTCCTTCACCATCTGTTTTCTTGATTCTTTTTCTTTAATTTGCTCTTCGTTTTTCCTGGATTTTTTTTTCTTGAATCAAGCCATCCACTGATTTGGTTGGTACCCATGGATTGATTGGTGAGAAAATAAGTTATTAAATTCTTGAAATTTTGGTTGACAATTCTTTATTTTGAATTCGATATTTTATTTGGTTACTTGAGCATTGGACAAAAAAAATCCTTCCCAAGAGTTATATAAAAAGAGTTTAGGAGTTGAATCAAATTCATTCAACAATAGCATAACTTTTTTGTCAAAACAATAGTGGATTGGTGTGATATAGAAATGATATGACTTTACATATTCTTTCATCCCTTTTTTTTTTTTTTTTTTTTTTGTTGGAGTTTTAATGAAACACTTTAAGTATTGTTCCCTTTTAACGCAAATGATATTTTTACTCTAAAAAATCAATTATGATACCATTCACTTACTACATCTTTTTGTCATTTTGATTAAAACTCAAAAATTTTAAATCATTTTCGTTAGTTTTACTTTTTTTTGTTTTTTTTTGGTAAAAAAAAAATTGAGCATTTCATTCAGAGAAAAGAAAATACAAGTCTCTAAACAAAACACTAGACTCAACATAGAGGTATCATCATCCTACTCTCCTTCACTAACCACTAGGCAGCGTCTTGATAATATCCGAATCACCTGCATCAATGATGCTAATAAGGCAAGACACCAGCAATTACTTTCCACATGTTGTACTGAGCTCAACATTGTTTCCATTCTAGTGGTGAGCGTAGTACTCGGTTTTAGATTTCTGCAAAAGTGGGCAATGATGAGTCAAAATTATATTATACATTTTTACTTATTCTTAGTATAATTTGGTAATTATTTTGGTAGAATTTTGATACTTTACTTTATGTTTTTAATATAGGACATTTTACTTCATCTGGAGCATAATGTGATCAAACAGACGAATTTTGGAGTGATTCAAATTGGAGGACGTTCGTGTGTTTCTTGGTTTGTTTGTGTCAAAATTTGAGATTTTTCTACCAAGCAGTTATTTTCTGGCTATTTATTAAAGAAGCAATGCACGTTGCTAGAAAGTGATGTTTTTTTCTTTCTTTAAACTGTATTTTTGGAGCCGAAGATGAGGCAATTGTTGGAAATGATAGTTAGCTTCCCTTTAGAGTTGCGGAGGGCATCGATGACGGTCTTGTAGCTTGAAAGCGCACTTGCCACTCTTCGTGACGGGTAGGGATGGGCAAATACCCATCGGTTACGAGTAACCACAGTTATCCGCCCATTTAAATATCACGGTTACGGTTATGGGTAACCGTTTAGATAAATAAACGGTTATGGGTATAACCGTTTACCTGCGAAATTTAAATGGACGGTTATGGGTATTAACCGCGGTTATAAATGGGTAACCATTTACTCATTTATTTTAGATATGTAAAATTAACACAAACCATGTTCCCTATCGGACAAAACTTAGATCAAGGCTATTGACTATAGTGCATGATTTCTATAGCTAATATAATATAGTTTTCCTTAACCATTTTAAATTTCATGGTCTATTATATATATTATGTTAATATTTTACATTCCGAGTCAAATAATCCAATAATACTATCTTTTAACAGTTTTCGTAACCCAAGAATACTTAGCAAATTTTATATTACCTTCATTGCTAACAGTTAAAAATATTGTATGTAAACTATTATTTCAATTATTGGAATGGTATACGGACTTAAAAAATTAAAATGTAGAAATGTATGATGAATGTACCTATAATGGTGTTTAATTGTTAGAAAAACAAAATTATGACAATTTTTTCTTTTTTAATTTTCAAGTTGTTAAAAAAATACGTAGACGGGTGAAAAATGAGTAAATGGTAAAAAAGAAAAGATAAACAGGTTTAAAAATGATAAATGGGTAAACGGGTACTAAACTGTTATAGTTAAATGAGTACACGATTATGGGTATGATTAACCGTTTATAAACGGTTATAGGTATGAGTATAGCTGTTTAGACAATTATCCAACAGGTAAACAGTTATGCGAATATGAAAATAAACGGTTATTGATAAATAACCGCGGTTACCCGTTCGGCATAACCGTTGTCCATCCTAGTGGCGGGGGTGAGCCTAGTGTTGATGCTCTCGTGGGTCTTCTTTGTCTTTGGGGCCACCGAGGTTCTTTATTGCTTCCTTCTCTCCTTACGCCCTGATAAATAACTCAATTAAGTTTATTATTTAACATTTAGAAGTTAAAAAAAATAAAAAATAAAAACAGAAACCGAAAGGTCTTGAGTCCTCTTCGACGCCCATGGTTTGCTTTTCTCACCCTCCTTTGTCTTTTCTCCAACCCATCACCACCATGAATCGATGGCAGCACAACCCAATCTGGAGAAATACAATATAATACTTAAAACAAAAATGAAAACCGAGAGACATTAAGCAGGCCAGTGAGTGAATTTGGAAAACCGAGAGGGACCTGAATCGGAGCAACCAGTTCGATCCTGGCACCATCGGCAACCCAGAAAATCAAGAGGGATTTCGTGAATCTGGAAAAGGTTGACGGGAAGAAAAAGAAGCAAAATTCCCCAGTCCCAACCCACCACTACCCCTACCTAACTCGTGAATCTGGAAGTGGTAGTGGGAAACCGCCACCACCGGGTTTGCCACCGTCGCCGCGATGCATCTCCTTCTGCAAACGCCTTAAGGTTTTTAGTCAGATGATGATTGGGGTACATTGCTTTGTGTTTTGCAGGGTCTGGAGGACTCTACGCCTTAGGGATTTTTTACTTTTTAATATTTATTTATTTTAATTATTAAAAAATAACAATGTTAAGTTAGAATTAAGTGGCATGACAAATGTCAAAAAACATGAATAAGGAGACATAATAGGGACAATATTTTTGGAACGGCAGATAATATCGTTTGTTTAAAAAATAAAACCAAACCATTCAACCTGATCTCCCACCGTAGGTCCCTCCACCACCCTCCGCTACAGCCACGTGGCGCGAATCCCCCGCTTCGACCAGTCTATTTTATCCCCCCAAAAAATAAAAAATAAAAAAGACAAATTAACTAAAAAGCTTTGGGGACCAAGAGGAGGAGGAGTTCCCCATTAAAAGCTTCGTCACCTTACGCTGTCCAGTTCTCTCTCTCTTCTTTCTCTCTCTACAACTCTCTTTCTCTGATTAGGCGCTCTATCTCTCGAAGCTTTTCTCCCAGTAAAAGCCCTGGAAATTTCCCAAAATCTCGATTGAATTCAGGTAAGATCAGATGGAAACCAGCTTCTTGTTCCAAGAGATTCCCCTTTTTTGTGGTTTGATTTTTCGTACTTTGATTTCTAAATTGTGATTGTGTTGCATGTGTGTGATTGTGTATGTATCGGTCTGTATCTATCTGTCTCTGTAATTGGGGCGATTTGTCTAGGGTTTTGCTTCGGTAATTTCATGTGATCATGGAACAAAATATCATTTTCTGATTGTGATCGATTCGGTGATGTAAATTGATCACACCATAACCTAATGCTGTGTTTAGTTGAAGAGAAACCGCTCTGAGTTTCTCTGTGGTTCCGAGTAGCGGGAATTTTTAAAGAGTTTAAAACTCGAATTGGTTTTGGTTTACTCCCATACCATATTTTGAATCCTCTTTTGGTAAATACTTTTTGTTTCTCTGATTGGACCCAAATTTCAATTTTCATCCCATATAGATTATTCTGTACATGCATTTGAGGAATATGTGATATTTCTTGTGAATGGAACAAGCAATACAATCCTAGTATTGAATAATATTTTATTTGGTGTCACAGTGCCAAGCATTTATTCATGTTTGATGTGTGTAAAAAAAAACAAAAAAAGTAGTTAGCACAGCGGGATGTTTCAGTCGGTGTCTTCTTTTGGTTCTTTGATTTCGCTGATTTTTGGGAAGGCTGGAGAAATAGACACTACTTAAATATTCCAATTCAGTATGATTCTGACATGTTAAATTGGGTGGTGTGGAATTCAGTGTATTCTTCAGTAAGTACCATTTTGAAACGGATATTTCGTTCATGATCCCATTGCAGATAAATGCTTAGGTCTAAACTGTGAAGTGGTAGTTAGGGAATGCGGTTCATAAACAATTTACTACTTAAAATTTGACCGTTACAAGAGGTGTAGTTAGAGAAATGGATGATTCAAGATTTTTTTGTTTTTAAGTGTCAACGAAGGTGTAGCCTGCGATTTTAGTTATTTGTTAAATGTCTCTCTCTCTTTGAAGTACATATTATACAGTATTTGATGCCATACGAATGCCTGGGCCCTTTTACTTAATTGCTATTATTGTTAAAGCTCATAGTTTTGAAACAATAAGTTTGAAGAGCTAGTTCAAGTCCTTTCTTTTGTCATCAGGTTGGTGCATCACATTTATATTTATATGATATATCTAAATCTGAAGTGAAGAATCCATCAGTCTCGAAGTTCACTGGTCATTTGTGGCATTTGTGGCATTTGTGGCATTTGTGGCATTTGTTTTACTACCAAGAAAGATTCGTTTATTAGTTTAAAAATCAATCAGCGTAGCTTTCTTACACAAGAATCTTCCGACTGGAACTTTGCAATATGTCGAGTGGATCCGTTAGACGGGTCTCACGTGAAGATATACAACTGGTAAGTTGTTCAACTGGATTTTTGTTGATCACCTATATCATAGATTATCCACTTATGCTTGTTTTTCTTTATTTAAAAATACAAAAAGAAAAAATATAAACCATTTAAACTAGGCTATAGCAGTGGAACTTTGACCGTGAGATTTTTTCTGATGTAAAGTTGCAAATGAAATAGGAAGATAACAACACAGTGCTTTGTTATAATACATCTTTTATTTTCTATTCCTTGTTCTTCCCTTAAGTGCCCAAGCATAATTTATCTTAGTTCTTCTGTGAAATGATTTATTGGGAAGTGAAATGTACGTAGTTGACATATTTTTCAATTCTATTTGCAAAAAGTGCAAAGTAACCAAGTGAATTTTCATGACCTTTATAGTAGCTTTATATTGTTTCTATTGGTGTTGGGCAGAACTGGGCAGTAGGGTTTAGAGTAGTTTAGTTGAAGCGATAAACACATAAAACTGAAATTAAATGACTATTATAGAAAACTGGAATCTCTCCAGGGGCATCACACTCGTTCTTGGCCTCTCACCAAGAATTTTGGCATCTCACCAAAGCTTTGGCCTCTCACCAAAGTAATCCCATCGTAATCCCATCGCAGGATCAGATCCAATCTCTGGAAAACAAAACTTTTCTATATGTCAACTCTTCATCATTTTAAAGATTGGGAATTAGAAGGATATTTGTAATGACTTAAACATAATGAACGCAGCAAAGTAGGCCTATTCTAGGAAATAAATCCTAATCCAAAATAGAATACAAAACTAGGTCAACTCTAAAGTTTGACAATTTCTGGATTTTAAAATACATTCAGTATCAAACCTTTCTTAAAATAGCTCTTTTTGTTTTCAATTCTTTTATTAAAAAGTAGGCATGACCTGCTAAATCAACTCTAAGTTTTATCAATTTCTAGGATTTTGAAATACATTCAGTATTAGAGAGTTAGATATAAGATTAATTATGAATGTTCTACCGTCAAAGCTAAGTGATGTTTAGTGCATTTAGATAAAAAAAAAATTTGGTTAAATGAACTAGATAAAATCCACTTTTATCTTCAATATCATATTTGATGTGTATCCCCCACTTCTAACTAGCTCACCATATTTGATATGGGACTACAAACTAGATGCTTTAAAATGTAAATCTTAGCATACTGCTAAGTGTGCAAAGTTTATATGCTTTCGAAATTGAACAAGCCAAGTACTACTTTTGTCATCTAATACATAAAATAATAACACAAGCCCAAGATAAGATTAAGATTAATTAGAGCACCAAACTAACCAGAAAAAGTTAAACTATTACAGGAATAAATGTGATGAAAAGATAAAATTGTAATCTCAAGCAAATTTTTCATTATAAATTCATCCACTACTTTAGTGAAATAAAACAATAATGAAAGGATGGATCACTAATTAAGTTGACTAATAAGTTGGAGTCAAGGGAGGATAAAGCAAGTAATGGCTACACGCTTAGTTTTTTCACTCAACTAAATGTAGAAATTTCTATAATTTCTTTCTTTTTATTGTATTCCCTTTATTCAAGTTTAACATGCAAAATGCTTGTTTATTTTCAGGTGCAAAACCTTATCGAGCGATGTCTCCAGCTTTACATGAACCAGAAGGAAGTGGTAGATACCTTACTGGATCAGGCAAAAATAGAGCCTGGTTTCACAGAACTTGGTAAGTTGATATCCTGTACTATTCTATAGGCTTTCTTTCTTATTTTAGTTGTAGTTTGTTACCCTCTTTATGTTTTCCTTTAATCTGAAATTCTTTTTCTTTGTGTCTCTTTCTGTTTGTTTCTCCCCTCGCTCACCAAAGTGTTTATTTCATTCAGCAAACTGAACATTACACAAAGAATTGGTTTGCTCCTTTTTATGGCCCCTTAGGCATAACTTATTGTGCATGCCAGAATAGTTGTTCACTTGGGTATTTTTTCAGCCAGTTTACTTTTGTACAGTACTTGTATTCTTCTTGATGGGGCCATCAACTTCTATTGCCTTCTGCTGTGTCATGGCCTCCATAAGTGTCCACTACTAAGGCCACCATGCACCATTATTGTCCCCATTTAACCACCTAGGCCCAACCCCATGGGTGGCATCAAGCCCAATGGACCTCAAGTGTGGGGTTTTATCTCAAAAGGCCTTAGTGCAATTAGAAGTGGAACACCTATATTTAAACTTTAGATTATTGTTGTACTTCTCCAATGTCGGATTCCCTTCACATCCATCTTGGCTTGTATTGAGCCAACCTTTTACACCAACACCTACTGTTCTGAATTGGAAGTTATATCTTCTTGCTTACGGTGTTTCATTTTATTAGCCAGTCTGGTGGACTTTGATTTTGGGGTCGTGTATTAGCCATCATAGCTGCTGTAACTTGTAGATTTATTCTTTTCAGTGGTCAATGGTGATGAGAAACCTAACTTATAAGCCTTCGAATCTGAATTTGTTCTGCAGGAATTTAGATATGATTAATTTCCAATGTAGGAAACTTTGTATCCTGAACTGCCCCATGTAATGAAATTTTTAGTTATATTTCAATGACTATGAAATGTTAATCTCCAACATTAACTTATAAAAATATCTGCCCTCTGTCAATAATTAGGGAAATTTAGGGTGTTCTGTGTGTTTTTATGCTTATCTTATCATTAATTCTGGCTGCACTTCCAGTTTGGCAGAAACTTGAGGAAGAGAATCGGGAATTCTTCAGGGCTTATTATTTAAGACTGATGGTGAAGCACCAAATAATAGAATATAACAACTTGCTTAAGCAACAGGTGGAGTTGATGAGTCAGTTACACTCAAGTAAAGTTGCTTCAATATCTAGTTCCAATGGATCTCAAATTTCATCAAGTAAGAGTTCTTCTCACTTTGATGGAAATTTTATGATGCTTAAGGTTTGGGCTTCTTTTGTATCCGTCCAAATGAAGCTTTATAGATTCATGTGGATTTTGATCTGTAAACGTATGGCATTTTGGTTATTTCACAATTCACGGTAATGGTATGCCACTTAAAATAAGTGATGTAATAGATGGGAAAAGAAGAAAGTAGTTAGGGGCCGATCAGTGTGATTTACTCTCTTTGAAATTATTTTTTGGATACTCTCTACACCCCAACACCCCCCAACCCCCGCTGCCGCCTTCTCTTTGTCGGTCTCTCTTTTTACCGGAAACAACTTTTCGATTAAGTTTTCATTATGCATGGAGGAATAATAGTTGGCATTTAGAAATATATCACATCAAGGTTACAGATTTTTCTCTTAAAATTACAGATTCACAGGACCAAGAGATCTGTACCCGTAACCTGATATCATGTCTGTGAAATTGTAGGGCCTCAGTATAAATAAATCAGCCATTTAAAAATATTTCTCTTGGTCTTACTTAACTTGGCAACAGTGATGCACACAAACTAAATACCAAGACGTAACGACTGCTATTTGTCTCCTCAAATTCATCTGATCACATTTCATTTCAATTCTTATCCTTGCTTTTATATGTCATCCATGCTCTAACTGCCGGTATAACAGTAATAATTTGGAAAAAAAAAAACCATGACAATGTCACAGTGCACCAAAACTCGACTTGCTACGCACCAGAGCATGTAGGACCAGCGCTGAAGACAGAAAATATACACCACCAAGTTGCTTCCTGCCTACCTAATGCATTTACTAATGGTGGGTCGTCATTGCACACTAGTATGCACAATGCTGTTAAAATGTCTGCTCATACCAATAGGATTGATGTCCAACCAAACATGCTTCCGAACCAGAGCTCCAACATAGGTCTGATGCAAGGAATGAATGGGGGAATTGTCAAATCAGAAGTTGGATATTCAGGCAGTTCGTACATGTTTAGTGCTGATGGAAACATCCTGGAAACGCGGCCCGCTATTGGAGATGCTTCTGTTGCAGCATTCAATAGCGTAGAGTCGAACTCACAGCCCCTAAATGAATCACTGCTTGATGCAGACTGTTCGTCATTTGGTTTTTTAGGTCAGATTCCTCGAAATTTCAGCCTGTCGGATCTGACAGCTGACTTTTCTCAGAGTTCAGGTGCTCTCTATCTCTCTCTCTGTCTCTAGAAATTGCTATCTAAACACTAAACATGAGGATTCATTACACTCATGTTTATTATTTAATAATCCCTGTTCTAAATGTTTTAGACATACTGGAGAGCTATCCTAGATCACCCTTCTTGGCTACAGATAATGACAACTTTCTGGATTCTCGTGATAGAGAACATCAAGGTGAGGACTTGACATATCTTTTCCTCATTACACTGCAAGGGGCTTTCTGATTTTGATCCGTCACTCTTACAGGAGACAATAACAGATTGGACACCATTTCAGAAGGTGTAAGTTATGAAGATTTTGGCAGTGAATAGTTATAACATTAAAATCCAAAGGTAAGTTCCCTCTTATATACCTTTTCTGTTATCCAATGTTTACATACCTTTGCTTCCTTCTACACATTTTACCTCTTATGTCAAATTGTTTTATGTTTCTCCATACGTAGAAATTGAGTTTAACATTGATAAGATCTAATTATTGGGTCTTCATTCTGTGGATACATTTGAAGTCCTCAGCTTCTCTGTCAGAGGCCACGATAACTCACTATAGCAGTAGCTTCACCTTTGTACCGACATGATTTAGAGTAAATGAATCTTATGACATGTTCCGTAGCTGCTTACTTGGAAAATCACGTTTGAAGAAATGCATATTTTGTTAGGGCAAGAGTTTTAGCCCAAATAATGCCGTTAAATTTACTAAAGGCACTTACTTTCGTCTTGGCTTTGTGTACAGGTAAATTTTCAAACCTAGGACACAAGGGTTTGTACATACACCATTTAAGATTTTGGCTGGTGTGTAAAATTCACTGATGGTAGTGAGAATGACAGTTAGAGTGGTTCCGTACAACAAGTGGACAGCAACGCTGGAAACTGCTATGGAAACGGTTTTTTGTTATCTTGGATGTTCTGCTAGCTGCAGGTTTTATTTTCAGTTGTTGGAGGTATATTTATCGTAGAAATGTATGTAGTTTGTTCTAATGACGACGACGGTCGTGATGTGATGTTAAAAAAAAAAAGGAGGAAAAGGAAAACCAGTGCTTCAGTTAGAATTGTTGACAGTTGATAAAGATATTTGGCTATTTTGGTTGGTTGATCTAATAATGAAGAAATCTAGTTTTGTTTTTCTTTTCTTGGTCTGGAAGAAATGTACGCATTTTTTTGTCTGGCGGAAGAAATGTGGTCGAATATCAGATTTACAGATACAAAAATCAGTGCGTGGGAGATTATTTGTACTAGTCTCATACACAATTTTCTTAAGTGGGCATATGATTACCAGATTTGTTGTGTTTAGAACGTGTGTTCTTTAAAAGAACGGATCCATGTTTGCATTAATAACTGTGAAATCCTGTCTTTGGAATTTCACTATTCATTACGTATCTCATTATTTAAATTCATATTTTTTGGGAATTAAATCGAATGGTTATCAGGTTTGAATTTTTGTAATTAATCTTTTAAAATTCGTTAACCTTTCGAGGTCACAATTAATGTTTTCAAATAGATTTCGACCCCACGAGCTCATAGGTGGTTCTATTAAAAAAAAAGAAAAAAAAAGAGGGGAGCAGCGAGACGGCCGAAAGGAAAAATAAACAGAGGAGGATAGACCAAAGGGGGAAGGGGAAAAAAAGGGAAGAAAGAGGGAAAAGGTGGTTGCGGGAGAGAAAGGAGCCAATGAGGGGAGAGATGAGGGAGGGAAAGGAGAGAGGTGAGTGGCATCCAACCAAGGCTTTTCCCCTTGACCCGTTACACAGCGACCCGACCCAGTTAGGGTAGACATTTCTGACGGGTTTTCTGTCCATTTTTCTGGCGAATCACAACCTTCCACCCCACCAAACAACTCCCTAGCCTTCCCTGTTTCATTCCCACCCGAAAACCACTTCGATTAGGACCCATTTTGGGAGGACCGGAACCCATTGGGTCCGTGGGTGTTCCGGCGAGACACACCAATTCCGAAGGTCCTGACCACAACCACCACCACCACCACCACCAAAAGGTTCTCCTCAACCCTAGGAACAAAGCCCAATCAGTGATGGAGGTGTCGGAGTTCGTATGGAAGCCGAATCGAAGCACACCCTTTTCTAGGGTTCCGGCGGGTTCGAGGAAAATTGGGGCATTTCCCGGTCGAATTGGACTTCGGCCCAGGTATGAAAATATGTGATATTTGTGATATTTATGAGTGACTTTAATATATGTGATATTTGTGATTACTCTGTTTTCATAACTATTATCTTGTGTGGATATGAGATGGTTTTATAATTATGTTTCCTATAAAATTGTTAATTCTTATATTTAGCCATCAATGTAGTTTTATGAAATGAGATTTGACATATATATTGGAAATATGGTTTGTTTTGTATGATTGGATTGATGTGATGAAATGTGAGGGCTAGTAATGGACCGTTAACCCATTGTCGTGGGCTTTGTTGCTTCGAAACATGTTTCACCCCCTCATTTCATTATTTTATTTCTCGTTTCGTTGAGCCTTTGTAACTTGAGTAACTTGATCCATGTCTTATTTCATTGATTGGTTGTTATGCATTGTACTCCGCGATTCGGTTGAGTGATGATCCAGAATCGTATCCACTTGGATTCCGTTGAGTGATGGTCTGAAATCCCTTCTACTCCGTGATTCTATTGAGTGATGGTCCGGAATCGTATCCACTCGGATTCCGTTGAGTAATGGTCTGAAATTCCTTCTACTCTGCGATTTCGTTGAGTGATGGTTCGAAATTGTATCCACTCGGATTCTGTTGAGTGATGGTCTGGAATTCCTTCTACTCCGCGATTTCGTTGAGTGATGGTTCGGAATCGTATCCACTTGGATTCCATCAAGGTATTAAATATCGATGATATCGGAAATATCGGTAGTCCGAAAACACAGAAATATCGGGATATTATCGATATTGATAAAAATAATATGGAAACCACGGAAATTGTAAGAAAAACTTGGAAATTTTTATTGAAACTTTGCAGGATGTTTATTTAGTCAATTATCTATTAGTTTATCACAAAAAATTGAAAGGAAATGCATTGCATGATGGATTTAACATTATCAAGTTGATTATATAGCGAGCTGACAAACATTGTGAGTGTAGAAAATATGTAGTAATTAACGAAAGAAGTTTAAACACACCATAATCATTTATATATAATGAATTAGTACAATATTTTACACTTTATACATTGCATGGTAAGATACATGAGCGACTTAGTACCAGATAGAGTTCCTATGAGGTTCAAATTTTTCACTATCTTCATCATCTCTATGTATAGAGTGAGTGTATTGTGAAGAGTAGTTATCAAATGATAAATCCCCAAAATAATTTTGCATGTAATTGTTAACATGCCACCCATATGGATCCCAGATTGGTAGACGTTGTCCATAAGCAAAATCATTTGAAGATTGAGTCTCGGATTGTTTCCATGAGTCGCTCGATTCCATCCCAACAGGAATGGGATATGAAGGGTAGGGAAATGGTTGGTTATGAGTATAACCATAGTTACTACTTCCCACTCCAACAGAGTCTGAAGTTATAGATAACGAGTCATCTTCTTGACTTGACAAAATCCCCTTGCCTCTTTCTCTACGAGTATAGTCCTTACCTATGGCACCAATTCCTAGTCCTGCCCGCCTACTGCCATGGTCTTCATCCTGTGTTGCATGCGTGAAGTTTGCCTCACTAGTGAAGGGGCTCATAAATCCAGGAGGTGGTCCAACATAGTTTCCATATCCACCACCACTACCTCCAGCTCCACTATATCCTTCATCATTCCCACCTCTGGTGGTAGGTGAGTCTCCTGATCTTGTACTAGAGCTATCATTAGTATCAGCACGATGTTGTGGTTGTGTAGGATTGGATGAAGGTGGAATTCCAGTGTTTCTTGGTCTTGGGCGCAAAAGTTCTTCCAAAGAGTCAGCGCTGCTAGATCCCACCTCCTCCTCTAATACTCTTTCTACATTTATCCCTTCATTACGTGCTTCTTCAGCAACTCTGGGAGCTGGGTTGCCTTCAACATCATCTAAATGAAGAGGTCTAATCTATTGATAAAGTTGGTTACCCTCTGTATCATCATCTTCACCAACAATATCAAACACATCTAGTGGGTCGCCACGGTCGACATGATCTATTTCTGCTTCCTTATCTCGAATTTGAAGTTTCATGTGTAGTAGCAATAAACTAATTTTTCCAACCTATTATGAGCCAACCTATTTCTTTGCTTTGTGTGTATGAGTGCAAATGTGCTCCAATTTCTTTCATAAGCAGATGAGGAAGTTATTTGTGATAATACTTTGATTGCTAACTTTCTCACAGTTGGTGCATCAGTCCTATACATGATCCACAATTCAGCTACAATGAAAAACAATGTTGATAAGCCTAATAACTCCAACAAATTCTATTATAAACTTATCGTGAAATATGTTTATACTCATTAGGAGACATTTTTGTTCGAGCAGCAACTGATGTTGGTTCTCCAAAAGTTCTTCTTGCATCTTTAAACCATGTTAGCTGAATTCAATAAATCGTGTTAGTTTAATCCAACAAAGTAATTATTATAATTTAAGTAATTATGTACCTCATTTCCAAATTGGCCAACTGCTGGTGATGCAGGGTCTAATTTAGAGTATACATTATGTACAACACGTATAAGGGTATCATCATCTCTAACACCGGGTCTGTATTGATATTGATGATTCAAATAATATGCTGTTCAAAGAAACACATACTCTAATAAGAGAAATAATACTTATGCAACTAAATAAATGAATTGCAAATTATGACATATTTATACCTGCTGCATGCAAATCGTGGTATAATGTTTTATACCATCGGTCTTCAATTATCTTTATGACCCACCTTGCACCATGTTTTCTTTCCAATTCATCCTTCACTACACGCATCAACTCATATATTGCCCACATAGTAGGATACACTTCTGTGTCAACGATCCGTATAACTTTGTAAAGAGGTTTAAACACTTGGCACATATGTTCTGATTGAGTCCAAAAAGCATGATCAAGCACTATACTTTCCACCATATGACCTGCATTTGAGCGGCTCAAATTGTGGTTGGCCCAATCGTCATTAATGAATAGTTGTTTCAACCTTGCTTTCTTCTTAAGTAGGATGTCTAATGCAATATAGTTGGTGGTGAATCGAGTGGTAGCTGGACGAATAATTTCTCCTTTGCAAAATTCACGCATCTTTGCCAACAACCAACCGTGATTGTAAACATAATTTGTAATCGTTCTAGCTCTTTTTACCACAGTAGCAACATTCTCTCTCTTCCCCATTGCCTCAAACATGAGATCAATACAATGTGCTGCACATGATGTCCAAAACACATTATGATGCTTCATTAACTTTTTTCCAGCTTTGACCAATGCAGAACCGTTGTCAGTCACGACTTGGACAATATTATGCTCTCCCACCTCCATGATTACATCCCTCAATAATTTGTAAATATACTTGTAGTTCTTTATATGGTCTAAAGCATCAACAGACTTCAAAAAAATTGTCTTTCCCTTGGAGTATACCATGAAGTTTATGATAGACAATCTGGTCGGGCCAGTCCATCCGTCACACATGATTGTGCAACCATTAGTTTCCCACTTTGACCTCAACTTGTTAACATACTCGCCAATGTCTTTATACTCCATATCCAAATATTTGTTTATTATCTCATAGGGAGTGGGAGGTTGTACCCCAACATCGGCCTGTTGACATCCCACTACCATATTTTTGAAATGATGTGATGATGCTTTCTCAACAGGGACATTTTCATAGATGAAGAACTTGCTAATTAGACGCCCTATTCCCTCCTTCACATTACCTCCAGTGAAATAACTCCAAACACTTTTTTAACGTGTTTTGGATGACTTATATAAACTTGGGGCTATTGGTGGTGTTGGTTGTGATTCTCTAAGACTGCCTCCCTGTCTCATTTGTGCATCACCACTTGTCCCAGAACCTTGTGCTCAATTAGGAATTTTATGAAGGTGTTCTCTTTCCCATGCTGACTGTTTGGAGGCACGTAATGCTTGTTTCAAATTGCGTCGTTCTTCAGGTCCCATGTCATCATCACATTCGTCCTCATCGTCATCATCATCACTGTCAACCGCTTGGCCAATGACCTCCTCGTAGCCTAGCTCGAATATTTTCCATTCCATGTGTTATCTTTTCCTTCTGCTGTTTTTTAATTTTTAATAATGTGCTGATGAATGCCTTCACTTCTGGGGGGGGGACATGATCGCATCGTTGGACATTTTTTGCTGGATCTAATCCACTAAAATGGTACTTAAGTCGTGTCACTCCGCCACTCTTCATTACCCGACCACAATATTTGCAAATTGTGCCATGTTTGTTTCCGTCTATTGGGTCTCCA